CCCCAATGTCCCTAAAAGGTCAAGAGTAGTTCATTCCTATCTTCAGTATAATTTCTAACACCTGAGAGCTTGCAGCTATTATTGAGAGTTGAAAACAAAGAAGTTTTACTCCCCCTTTACTGCCCATTGACTTCAAGATATAATACTGCACACCAGTGTAGGCAACAATCAGAGCTATTGATCAGAATGCCTATGTTTAATTTTTAATAGTTTACACAGCCTTTAAAGCAAATTGGCACAAGCCTTGCATTTAACAAAAGTAGCATTTAGTTTTTTGTAGGGAGCAGAAGATAAAGAAAATCCCCTGAGTTCTTCCTGGAAAATATTCAATATACTCAATGGTTTGCTATATAAAGAATGTGCTTAATATTTTCAGATCAAAATTATTTGATCCAGAGATTTAGGAATCTCATATTTGGCCTCTTGTACCTAATTCAGTAAACACAGGAAACAGAATACTAGAATTGGAAGGGATCTCAAGAGATCATCAAGTCCAGTCCCGTGCTCTCATGGCTGGACCAAGCACAGTATAGATATCAGTCTAACCTGCTTTTAAATATCTCCAATGATGGAGATTCCATAACCTCTCTAAGCAACTTATTCCAGTATTTAACCACCCTGACAGTTAGGAAGTTTTTCCTAATGGCTAACCTAAACTTCCCTTGCTGCAGTTTAAGCCCATTGCTTCTTGTCCTACCATCAGAAGCCAAGAACAACCATTTTCCCCTTCCTCCCTGTGACAGTCTTTTAGATACCTGAAAACTGCTCTCAAGTCCCCTCAAGTCTTTAAACAAGCCCAATTCCTTCAGCCTTGCCTCATAGCTCATATTTTCCAGGTCTTTAATCATTTTTGGTGCTCTTCTCTGGACTTTCTCCAATTTCTCTACATCTTTCTTGAAATGTGGTGCCCAGAACTGGACATAATACTCCAATTGAGGCCTAATCAAGCGCAGAGTACAGCAGAAGAATGACTTCTCAGGTCTTGCTCACAACACTCCTGTTAATGCATCCCATCCAATTCAGAACAAAACAAAAAAACAAAACAAAAAAAACCACTCCCTAATCTACAGCTCTGACAACAGTGTTTACCCCAGTTTTATGAAAATGATTTACTAAGATTGGTAGCTTATAAAATGCTACTAGTGATGTTTATCTGCACAAAGGGCAACTAAATTCCACAAATCACAGAAACCAAGCTCTAAGAATTGGAGAGTAAGTTTAACTATGTCTTAAGAAAACATAAGAATCCAGGTGTACTCTCACAGATCAACTATCAGGGGGAGGGGAAGGAGAATACATGAGTTCCATGTTCTAATTCACCACCTTATTTCCTAGCCATGTAAAAATATTCTTATCCTAAAGCAACAAAAACGTTTGATGACCCGTGGAACCAGTTTCTATCGTCTTAAGTACAAATAACACATGCACTGTACAACTTACTCAAACACTCAAGATAATGAAAAGAATGTCTCCTTTGTATGAAATCCTAATAATGAATAATGATAGTTGTGTCTATCTGCTTTTCTATAAAAAAAAAAGTAGCGATTCTCTACTGGACCAATCTAAAATGCACAGCCTAGGGACTGTTAGTTATTATTTGCATTACAGTAGCACCCCTAGAGACTCCAAAAAGGATCAAATGCCTTCACATTTTCATATTTGTCAAATCAGTGGCTGACATGTTGCACAGACTTCTTAGCAGGAAAGTAGTTTCGTTTGTTCATACACAGTGTTGTCTAGTGTTCAGAAAGTGGAGTTTCTGTGAAATCATTTCCATTTTCTCACACTGGTGGGAACAAGCAAAAATTGATTCTCATACTCACTTTGTGAGAAGCGGGACCTCTCTCATCCACTCTCCTCTTTTGTGGAAAGAGAACAGCACCAAGTACTTTTACTCTAGTCACCAGGCCACTGAAATGTATTACTCTGCATGCCATGACACATTTGTACAATATCTGCCATTACACCAAGTAGGCATCTGAAAGTGTAACCATTTACATGGTTATCTCTTCTGCCCAGGCTCTTCAGTTAATGGGTACAGTTACATGCGGCGCCCCCCTCTATGCTGCTGCCTCTGTATCAGAAGCAGCAGTAGAGCGGCGGGGGGGGGGGTTGGCAGGAACTGTTGCTCACAAAGCTGGCTCCCCATGCGCACCAGCTCCCAGAGAGTTGACTGCCTCTCCCCTACCCATGTAACTGTGTAACCACTGAAAATTTCAGTGGTTACATGTTTACTTTAATAAACGCATATTAACATCCCTAATACTGAGTATACCCTCCGGCAGATCTACAACTAGTTTGCTGTTATGTTCTCTCCACTTAGCTGGATTTGGGTGCAAGTTCTGGGACTGCAAAGGCCTTTTCCCCCCCAAAGACGAGTGTCTCACAACTACCCTCAATGTATGCCTCACTTTCTGATGCTAAGCAGACCAGCTCTCTATAGGTGTGTACACACAGCAGGGCTTAACTCAAAATAAGCTATGCAATTGAGCTACGTCAATTGCATAGCTTATTTTGAAATAGCTTATTTCAACATTGGGAGTCTACATAGCACTTATTTCAAAATAGAGCACTCTTCCTCCAACTTCCCTTACTCCTCATACAATGAAGGTTACAGGAGTCAGAATAAGTCATCCTCCAGCTTGACAGAATTTCAACATTATTTCGAAATAACTGCCTGCTGTGTAGACGTGGACTACTTTATTTTGAAATAACACTAGTTGTTTTGAAATAATGCTGCTGTGTAGACATACCCTATGACAGCCCTCATCCTTCTTTGGGAAAAAGGTCTTTGCAGATGACTGCTACTCACCATTAATTTTAATGAGTGCCAAACACCTGGAACTCATCTCAGGAGCAGGCCCATATCTAACTACAGTACTTATATGGCCCCCATTATGATAGTATCCAAGTAAGTCACAATGTTTTATTGTTTATGTCCTCAATACACCACGATGTCAGCGCTACTATAATCCTCATTTTACAGATAGAGAATGGAGGCACAGATAGACTAAAAGACTTGCTCAAAATCATGCAGGAAGTCATAGGAAGAACAGGGAATAGTCTGTAGATCTTTCCCATTCACAGCCTAGGAGCTCTCTCTAAACTGTAGAAATCCATCCAGAAATACTAACTGATTTTAAAATGAGTTGGAACTCTAAAGCAAACCAGACAAGAACACACATGCTAATTTTTAAAGCCAGCTTAGCTAAGCTACCTTTCAGCAGCTGTAGATTGACTCTGGGCCTATTTTTACTTCAGTGCCTGTAACATCCATTAACATAATTGTGCAGTAAGTGTGGAAATTATAGAGCAATGTTACGTAATACTGTAAGACAAGTGTGCTATCTGGAAAAAATCAAACAACTACAAGTCAGAAAGAGAAAATGAAAGGTTTGGGGGAGAGCAGGGGCAGAGAAACTTGAATTCCTACACAGAGGACTCAGAATGCCAGATACCAAGCACAAAGAAACAGAACATTAGGGTCTGTTTGTTTAGAGTCTAAGAGGCTAGACCTCTTAGTTTTAGGTTATGAAATCATAAGATCCTTTTATGAGCATAAGAAAAAGTGTGCTTTTAATATTGAGATATTGTAGTTTGGTGCTATTCAAGACTGAGTCATACAGTTTGTTTTCAGGATGAAAAGAGAAAATTGTCTGGAGACAGAAGGCTCCTAATAATGTGCATTATATATTAAATGACACCAAATTTTAGAAGTTGGTGTGTAAATAGAGAGAGCAGTAGTTAAACGTGTTATTTTAAACTGAGAAATCTAATATTGACTGCTGATTGTTTATATTTGTCATTTAGTTGAATGCTCTTACATGATATTTTCTATTGGTTCACCGATGTATTGCTTAATAGATTTTGTTAATTTGATTCCATCCTTATAATTACATGTAAATACTAGTTGCATAAACAAATGAGTAGCCTGTTCTAAAATATCAAGCACCCTACCAGTGGAGGTGGATACATGTATTTACACTCAGGCAGAAACGCCTAAACATCCCTTACAGATTAAAACCTGATACAGAGACTAAAAATATTCTAAACCCCAATATGATGGTTAATTTTCTGGGCATCATACCATCTAGCCACTTGGAATTTATGAACAGTAGCCCTCACAGTCCTCTTTTGAAGCCCGTCATGTTCTTAAAAAGAGTCTGAACTGGATTATTTTATCGCGAAAACAAGAGAGCTCAAGAAAGGATGTGCAAACAGAAATGTATGCAAGTCACAGAGCATGACTATGTCTCATCTGCACTCTCGCACACAAAACCACAGTTCAAACACAAGTTTCTCAGAAGTTTGCAACATACAGCCCAGTTAAAGCCATATTATCAGTACCCTACATATGAAAAAGGGAAGCAGAGAGACTTCAGACTGAGATCCAGAAAACTAGCTTTAGGATCAGGGGATGCAGAGTGGGTAGGAGGAAATCATACACGCAGTCTGCCAGGAAGACTGTCAATATCACACTGCTCCTCTGCATTCCCCAAAAGAATGGTACATGGATGCGTGGGTAGCAGTTCCACTCTGCCAGCTTAGGGAAAGCTGACGCTGTGGACGATTTAAGATTTCATACCGCTCGTATGAAATTTAGGGAAAATAATGAACAGCTTAAGAGAAAACCTCCTTTCACAGGTCATACTAAAGTCTTTCCTGGCTACCAAACTGTTTTTTGTCCCCGCCTGCCATGGATCCCCGAGTAAAATAGCATGCTTTCACATCACCACCCGGCCAGGCACTGCTTCCTTGACAACCCTTCATCCAGGCTATTATAATTTATTACTCAATTTCGAAGCAGCAGTCATTCTGGTCTTTATCAATACTATATTATAATTGCATGTTAATTTGATAACCAGCGATAGGGCTGAAGGCCCACAATGTCAAATGCACTTGGGGGAGGGGGACAGACTGTCAAGTTCTAGCGAGACAGAAGAGGCTGTTTCTTCCCTCCTCCCCCTCCCGATTATAGCTCGCCAGGATTTGTTCCTTACCTGCAGAGCTCTGCAAAGGCCTGAAAATTCAGCTTCTTAATCTTCTTTTCGCTCAGCCAATAGCCAACTCTTTTCCCTTTCAGAAAGGTCTGCATCTTCCCTTGCCCTCCAGCGGAGTGGAGGGTTTTATTTTTAAAGGAGGAAAGAGAAAGCCCTTATACACACGATGCAGCAGCGTGGCGCTGAGGTGCCCTCTCAAAAAGAAGCCTCTAAAGGGAAATCATTCAGACTTTGGGGTGCAAGGAGCCCTGGGAGAAGCAACACGGGAAAATCCGGGGAGGCACTTTTACGTGCACTTGGGTTTCAAGCAAAGACACCAAAAAAATCCGATGCTGTCTCGGAAGCCGCCAGCAATGTTCCCCGGGCAGATACCGTGCTCGGCTGCCTCGGGCAGGGTCCAGGCTCTCCGAGCAGCTGTAACTTGTGTGCAATCCCTCGCAGGCCCTCCCAGAAAAGGGAAAGCGCAGGCTGGGAGGGAAGGTGCCTCTGGTGGAGGGGAAGCGTCTACCTCCAGCCACCCTCCTCCGTGCGCCAAGGGAGCAACCCGCAGAGCGGGCACAACCCCGCGGCTCTCCGAGCAGCACCCCCCGGGCAGCAGCGGAGCCCCGCGGCAGGGGCCCAAGTAAGCCTCCGGCCCAGGCTGCAGAGGGGAGCCCCAGCGGCCGTCGGGCTGCACGCCCGGGAATCCGGAGACCAGCTCGCTTCCTTCCCCCGCTGCTGCTGCTGCCGCTGCCCCCCCCGCCCCTCACAAGCCGCCTCCACTTCCTCCTGCCGCTTCTGGTTCCTCCTCTCTCCGCCCCCAGAGCAGGCGGGTATGCGAGAAAGGACACACCCTCCCCAGCGCTGCGCCGCGCTCCTACGCCTCCTGCCCGGAGCTGCCACGCGCCCCCCCGCCGCAGCAGCAGCAAGCGGCCCTATGGGCGGGCAGGGAAGAACCACTGTGGTTGGACCTGCAGGGGGCAGCACTGGGCTGCAGCTCCTTAAAGACACAGCACCCCCACCCCCTCCTTTTAGGGTTGGCGGCGCCAGAGCTGGTGCTCTCCCATGTGGCCTGGTGGAGAACGGGGTCTGAAAAGTGGTTTTCCAGAGTAAAACGATGAGTCATGTGTAAGGGGGGGAGGATACGTCAGCAGTGTAGCTGGGCTGACTATGGGATGCTTGGTAAATTTACTCATATTCAAGGGAGTTCAGCAGCAAGCAATCAGAACTCTGCAGTACAAATATTCAAATTCATACCAGGTTGACTGAGCGCCTGTTAAAAACACTGGGTAGTTGGATTGTTTTTATCTTTAAGGCTTCGGGGTTCATAGAGGGAGAGGTGGCTCACACACACTCCCATAACACCTCTCCTACATGGGGTGACCCACTGACCTGACCCTCTCTGCCTGGCTGTGCCCCTGGGACAGACCTCCTCTCCTGGTACCAGGTCTTCCTAACGCAACACATGGGGTGGGCAGACAGGTCACATGCCCAGAAGCAGCAGTCTTTCAGCACTGTGCAAAGGGAAGAGATGAGAGCTGCTTCTAGTCACAACAGGAGGGTGGGGAAAATGATCTGGCCCCTGTCTTTGCAGAGCTCCCCTCCCTTGTGGTTAGAAGCAGCTTGTTCCTGCCCGCCCAGTGTCAAAAGACAGCTAAAATCTCTAGGCGGCTGCTGCTGGCCACCAACATAACCCAGCCAGCTCCAGCTACAGTGCAGGCAGGAAGGGGTTAAGCTCTGACGCTGCATTGTGCTCCTGGGCTCAGGGAACCTGACTGCAGAGGCTTCAGCAAACCTTGCCATGGAGATAGCTCAACAAGGGAGGGTGCCTAGGGGAGAGAGCATAAGAACATCCATACTGGGTCAGACCAAAAGTTCATCTAGCCCAGTATCCTGTCTGCTGACAGTGGCCAATACCAAATGCCCCAGAGAGAGTGAACACAGGGCCGGCCTTAGGCCGATTCGACCAATTTGGTTGAATCGGGCCCCACGCCTAAGGGGGCCCCGCGCCCCTGAACCCGGAAGTGCTGGCCAGTTACAGAGCTGGGGGCCCTGCTCCTCCAATATGTGGAGCTGGGTCTCTCCTCTGGCCCTGCCTGGAGCAGGCCCCGGCCCCCATCTGCCGGCCCCCCCGCGCATTCTCCCCCTCAGCCCCGTCCCGTCCCTTCTGTGCATGGAAAGTTGTAGGTCGGCGGGGCCTGAGCGTGACGTGACTTGATGTCACGCCCAGGTTTTTAAACCTCCTCGGAGGCATATTGCATGGCTGCCTCCGGGTTTGGACTCCGGGGCCTGAGCGCAGACTCCGGCCCTGAAATGTGGAAGGCAGAATGTAGGGAAGGGGCTTGTGCAGCGGGAAAGGGGAAGGGGCTTATGGGAAGAGGAAGGAGCAGGGAGGTGGAGAGGGGCTTGTGGGGAGGGGAAGGGGAAAAAAAGGGGAAGGCACCAAGAGACAAATGGCAGGGGGCCAAGGGGGGAAAATGAGGGGAAGGGCAGGAGGAGGGTTGTCAGTGGGAGGGGGGCATTAAGGGGGCTGGGGGG